AGGGTGGTAGTGATGGGGTAGAAGGTAGAAAGTGATGGTGGTAACAGTTGTAATAGTGGTAGTGATGGTGGTAGCAATTGTAATAGTGGTAGAAGGTGGTAGTGATGGTGGTAGCAGTTGTAATAGTGGTAGAAGGTGATAGTGATGGTGGTAGAGGGTGCCTTCTTTAGTGATTCAGCGATTATACCAACTCCTCCAATGTTGTTGGAGTTACATAGGGCTACAGAAAACACCACCGCCTCAGCTGCTGCTTCACCACCATTATGGACGGCTTACTCTCAGTGGCCCTTATATACCCAACAACAACACAACACAACACCTCTCGTGACATACGTAATGACTTATTTTATTCATTCTAGAGTATATTCCATGTTTCTATGTTATTAATATTGTTTTTATGTCATATTAGTTGAGTTGTGATAGATAAATAAGCCGTAGAGTTGATATTAGTGTCATATTCTCCAACAATAAACACGCCATCCCTCCCTCACACAAACAAGTCTTCAATAAGTACAAAAGAAAGGAGGAACACTGCAATAAGCCTGTTAGCCCATACTAGGCCAGTCCTTCACAAATCCAACCCACTAACAGAACAAATGCTACCCAAGCAATAAGCTCAGGTGCAAGTCTGACTCAAATCCAACCCCTCTCACTCATATATTTATCCAACCTAAATTTGAAACTACCCAATGTTTTAGCTTTGATCACCCTACTTGGCAGACCGTTCCACTCATCAACTACCCCTATTACCAATGTTCCTTTATACATTTTATTAGTGCTTTACATTTATTTGGCATTCTTTTCTGCATGTAAATCTATATTTATACTAGGGAAGTGACCCCTGAAGTGACCTAGAGTCCTTATGGAGGGGGATTCCCCTTCCAAACAATAACTTCTCCTCCCTCTCTCCTCCTCCCTGTCTTCCATTCAACAACAGCCTTCAATAAAGGTAACTGTCATGTTGAATGTTCATTCTTTTGTGCATGTAAATCTATCTTTTAGGTAAAAAAAAAAAAATTGTTGTTGTTACTTTAGTGTCTAACAAATTAATGATTTAAAATTTTGACTTATTTTGGAGGTTATTCGAAATAGCTATTTCCCCCAATGTTCTTTCAGGGATCAATTTAAAAAAATTGGATCAGCTCTTATTTCCAAATAACACCAATGACAACGACAAGTCAAAACTGTTTTTTTTATTTTTAGTTTTAAAAAATTAGAGCTTTAACTAATTTTGACTGACTTTTTTTGTAGGTCTAATGAACATCACCTTATTTCTCCCCACATGTTCTACAGTTCAATTTAGAAATTTTCTGATTAGGCTCTGTTTTCACAAAGGTAACTACCATCTTAATCGACAGTCAACTGTATTTTTTAATATATAGTAATATAATAAACAATAAATTTCTTTTATTATTATTAACACATCGGCCTTTTCCCCACTAAGGTAGGGTGACCCGAAAATACAAATAAAAAATAATTGGCTAATTAAATTTGGTGTAAAAAATAAATTTTCTTCTGGATGTAATTCTGCCTAGTGTTCTATACTACTTGAGTCGTGGAAGAACCTAAAGTATTTACCAAGATCAACTGACAACATATGACTAGGAATGAAAAATAATGACTTGAAAAATATGATGTTGAAAGTATGCAGATAAGACATATGCACTTTTCAAGATATTTATTAAGAATAAATATATGCCTTTTAAAAGTGCATATGTGTCTTGATCTTTGTGGAAAAATACCGATACTGTGGCTCCTCTATTGTAACTATAAAATGCAAAGCTACGTTATTCAGGATTTACGCTAAACTTAAATTTAAAGTTAAATGAAAAGTTAAAGGAACAAAAAACATCATACTGTAGCTACCACAAAAATTATCATGACTTACAAAAAAAGAGACTGTAATATGCCTGATAGAGGTGATAATATATCATGTATGCCTCATAAGCTGGGCCCATAGATGGTAGAGAATGCATAAGAGTAAACAAAATGTGAATAGTAACATTAATTAGAGAAAATAAATAATAATAAATTACAGTATCTCTAAACACTATGTAGCACTGTGACCTCCCTGTTACTTGAACTAATGCATGTGCATGGGTGTCAAAACTGTATGAAATTCCTAACAACAGAAACTAGATGCCTCTCCTAATCAAAGGGAAAATCTGAATAAGATACATTTTCCAAATTAAAAATTAGGAACTTTTACTTTTATTCAGAAAATTCTTAATTACAGATGTAATTTACAAAGCTAAAATTATCTTATAATGAATATTAAAAAAATGTAAATAAGAGAGCTTTCACTATGAAAAACACAACTGTACTGTAATGTATTGTTAACATTTTAAAGTAAAGAGCATGTATAGTACAGCTGATTCATATTTCTTACCATATTAAAAAAATGAGCTATAAAAATTAAACCCAATTTAAAAAAAAGTGTTCTCTCCCCTTTTCAAATGATTCTAAAAATTATAGTGGAAGGTTTTTATGCTGTACTATATTTTGTCTTCAATATTTTTTTTATTGTGTTTCATTTTTGCTTTATTTTTTCTTTGTTTTTTTTTTTTGTTTTTTTTACCCCTACTAGATTTCTTATAGATGGGGTTGAAGCAGTAAAACAAGATGCTTTGTCCTTTCTAAGTCCCCATACTGTGTTGCAGCTCCCACTGAGGACGTACTTATGCATGGACTTTCCTTTCTCGAAATTTTCTGGGGGAAAAATCCCTACAGTGTGGGAGTGCTCTTTTTGGTTCAAAGGGCACATCCCTTACAACTATGCAGACTTTGTGGAAAACTTTTGAGTCATCCCCCGGGAAACTGAGGTCAGTGACTAGACTGGGCCGAAAAGAACCTGTTAAAATAAGAGTTATCTGAAGTAATTATGCATTGAGTTAGGGAAAAGTCTGGGAGGGGAGTGCTGAAGTGGGGACAATGCGCTTACCTGACTGCGGATGACATTGTTGGGCGGGGGGGTGGTGCAGTGCCAGGAGGCTAAAGAAAATTAAATAAAAATATTTATATGCATGTGGTAGTAGGTGGTAGACAGCAACCCCCAGGGAGGTACTACCGTTTGCCAAGTGACGTAAAAATGAAACCTGTTTTTGTTTTACTTGTGGTAGGATTGCGGGTTTTTTTTTTTTCTGTCTAAAAAAAACAGCAAGTTTCAGGATTTGTACTTCTTCTTACACTTAGGTCACACACACATACAAACAGCATGTACATACACCCCCCTCTGGGTTTTTTTCTTTTTCTTTCTAGTTCTGTTTTTTTTAATTTTCCCTCTTATCTCCATGGGGAAGTGGAACAGAATTCCCCTCCGAAAGCCATGCGTTTTTGTAAGGGGCACTAAAATGCGGAGCAGGGGATAGTAACCCCTTTCTGTAAAAATTTTAAAAAAATTTTTAAAAGAAAAATTTCATTTTTTTTTTTGGGCCACCCTGCCTTGGGGGATTTTTGTTTGTTGAAAAAAAAGAAGTTTTACTGCATAAAAAAAAAATTACTGTACAGCCTCTCCTCCTTAACGCGGAGTTCCATGCCAAGACCCATCGTTTAAACGAATTTGCATTAAGGAGAAGATACTTAATGGTATGATTGGTCAACCATTTTTTGATATTGTTTTAATGTTACCTTTGCATTTTTTAAAATTTCTGGTATATTTTTAAATATTCATTCGTATGTACTGTAATTAAATAAACGAATAAAAGGAAATCCTTAAATACATTATTTTGGGTATGAATATTATCAGAGAGCCCATCGAATCCAGGCTTTGGTAAACGAGTACGCCAAAAGTGAGGAGGGGCCCGATTTAAAAATCTGAATACCCCAAGACTTTTAAATAACTGTTAAAATAATTTCCAAAATCAACCCCTTTTTTTTTGGCAAGGTTTAAATGCTAAGCAAGAAAAATTTTAAATTCATTAAGTTACAAAATCAAAAAACAATTTTTTTCTTTTCAAAAAAATGGCCGTTCCCACCAAAGGGCGGGGGGCCCAAAAAAAAAAAAAGAAAGTTTCTTTTTTTAAATTTTTAGTAATTTATACAGAAGGGGTTACCCCCCCTTGCTCCGTTTTTTAGTCGCCTGAAAAAACACGCAGGGTTTTTGGGAGAAGAATTTTCCCCCCCCATGGAGATAAAGGAAAAAAAACAAGAAAAGAACTAAAAAGAAAAAAAAGAAAACCCAGAGGGTGTGTATATTTGCTTGAATGTATGTGTATGTGACCTAAGTGTAAGAAAAGTAGAAGATGCTGTATTCTTGCTATTTTTGAGACAGAAAAAAAGACACCAGCAATCCCACCATATGAAACCCAAATTTCAGGCTTTGTTTTTTCACTACTTGGAGGACGGTAGTACCCCCCGGGTGGTTGCTGTTACCAACCTATACCTACAGCAAAAAATTTTATTGAAAAACTGCATTTAAAAATGAAAAAAATAAAAAAAAAAATGCTGACCATATGAAACTGCGTATCTGAGGGCCCCTCAAATACAGTGATTATGTATGAGTAATGGGGAAAGTTTTTTCCTCCTGTTTGGGTTTTTCTTTCTTTTGGGTACCCCGCCTCGGTGGAAAGGGCTGACATGTTTTTTAAAGATTTTGAGGTAAAACAGAGGCAGGATTGCGTGAGCAAAGGGGGCTTGAATGGGTAATGGTGTGCAGTCAAGTGTTTTCATTGAAAATTTAAGTGAACAATATTTGATAAAAGGGGGAAGTTTTTATTGCTTTATGATTTAGAAAGGGGGATTGATAAGGTAGAAAGGGAACAAAGTGGCAGATGTTGCAAGTGCATGAAAAGGTAAAAGTTTCAAATATTCAAGAGTTTTTACAAGGAAGCGGGGTCAGGTTTGGGGGGGTTTTAGAAAAAAGGGGGATTACTTTCCATAAAAGTAGGGGCCTAGACAGGGGTGGAAGTCACCCAGTGTTTAAAAATTTTTAAATTGGTTTTAAAAAAGTAAAAGTAAGGGTGGGAGAGGGGGCAATTAAATTATGGGAGATTTAAAAAAAAAAATGAGAGTTAAAAAGTCTTTTTGCTGAGTACGTGGTTTTGGAAAATTTTCAAGAGAAGTTGCAAAAGGTGAGTGGAGATTTGGGAGGGTGTGTAAAAGGGAAGGAAAAAATTGAAAAATGAACATAATAAGGAAGGTGATGGGGGATCAAATGAGTTAGGTAAAAAAAAATAGATATCACATTGGAGGGAGGGAGTATGGAAGAAGTGAATGTCCTGATATTTGGGAAACAACTTGTCAGAAAATGATTTTGAAGGATGAAGTTATCACAGAGGATGAAAAAAAAGGCAGTGGTGCCTGTGGATTGTGGAGACAAAAAAAGTTTTTCAAAGGAGGCAAACAGGGAAATGTATGGATAAGTGGTACTAAACCTTATGGGTGTGAAGCGGGTTATAAAGCTGCAAAAAGGGGGGGGCTGGAGGGGAGTGGGGTTGTCATGTTTTGGGAAAATTTGGAGGTTGTTGGATTTACAAAGATTTTTCAAAGGGCTGAAGAGGGGTTTTTGAAGTGGTTTGGTCATTTAGAGAGGTGGAGCAAAAAAAAGGATGACTGGAGGGTATTAAAACTGTAGTGGAGGGAAAAGGGGGGATAGGGGGCATCCTGGAAAAACAGATGGGGGGGGGGGAGGGGTAAAAGAGGTTTTGTGTGCAAGGGGGTTGGAAATGTAACAGGGATGTGTGACTGTGTTGGACAGGAGTGAATGGAGGCAAATAGTTTTTGGAACCTGACAAGCTGGAGTGTGAGCAAGGTAATATTTTGTGAAGGGATTCAGGAAAACCGGTTAGCTGGACTTAGAATCCTGAAGGTAGGAAGTACAATGCCTGCACTTTAAAGAAGGGGGGTTCGGGATATTGGCCGTTTGGAGTGAAATCTATACTGTCATAGCTAAGCACTTCTGCAAAGCCTGTGATTATGTATGAATGATGATGAAAGTGTTGAATGATGATGAAGGTGTTTCTTTTTGGGTCACCCTGCCTCAGTGAAAGACAGCCGAAGTGTCAAACAGAGGGTATGCCTGCATTCTATGCTTGCTCTGATTTCTTCATTTTTCCCTATCTAAGTAAGTGAAAGTTGAGTTTTATACTCCCAGAACCTGGTCTTGAGCTTGGCTCATGTTATTTCTTTTTGCCCACTGAAAATGTTGTTGCTACCTGATTGTAATTTTTCTGAATCTTCCATTGAGGTAACTTTCATACTTGCTTTGATATCATCTGCAAAGGATGATACAATGCTTTGACTAGTGTTTCTATGTTTGCTATGAGGGGAAAAAATAAACAGCAAAGGTGCTAGGACTTTGCCTTGGGGAACTAAACTTTTTATTTTACTGAGACTCAGCTTTGTTGTTTACCATCATTAATGTCTTGTTTGTTAAAAATTTGAATACGATTTCCTTACTTTTCTTCTTATACCTATTTTATGGGCTAACATTCTATTGTCACATATATCACAGAAAAGACACAAAGGAATAAGAATTCACAGATACTGATAATCTAAAATGGCATGAATTATCACTATTACCTCAGGTTTTAAGGATGCTGAAGGCACAGGCACTGGTCTGCTAGGTGGTGGTGGTGGAGGGGGTTGACTTGGTGGAGGAACACTTGGTCGATTTGGAGGTGGTGGTGGTCGTTCAGAAGGTGGGCGTGTCATAGATCTCGCAATATTCGCCCCCATGCGATGCCCAACAGTGTTAGGGCGAATGGAACCATGATTTGCTGATAGCCCACTTTGAATATTTCTGTGATTATGAGAGAGAGGAAGGGTGCGAGAAGGTAACAAAGAGTCCTCTCCAGGGCAACTATTATTTTGGATATGGAATTCTGGCTCACTTGGAATCCGACATTCTCTCATACTGTTAGTCCGACTTGCAGGTTTACTAGAAGGTGGAGTGCTCCCATTTGGCTGAAACAAAAATGCACTTATTTAATTCAATAATGTATTTGGACTATTTTGAATTTTAACCTATTATGTTGTCTTATCATCACAGGACAAACAGCACTTAAAAAGATAAAATTTCACTTTTCTATAATTTTCCAAGACTGAAATTTAGTTTTCCAAAACAGTGCAAGTCATTAGTAGGGCTTATCTAAAACTCAAGTTTGCACTCTGCCCCACCAAGTATCCCATGAAAAGTTCCCACAGAGACTGCTTGTCTATCCTATATAAATGAGCAATTACAGGTAAAACACTGATCGTTCCCATTTTTATGTGCACTACCTGCCATTTCTGATCTTCTTAAGTTCGGAAGCTCTAAGAAAAAATCAAGCATCAAACAGGAAAACAACTTTGCTAAACTAGCTTGGAAATAAATGATATATACAAAACAAATTCCACTACCTTTTCCAGGGATCACAAATCTTCACCTTCAACTTTCACACTTAATGATCTCCATCAACATGAGGTTTGACTTTAAACTCTCTCCTTTGTTCAATGCAAAACTTTTCTACTGCTTTAACATATCCACATATATACCTACAGGATCTAAGATTTCTTTTACAAATACTTACTTTTTAAATTAATTTGCAACAGTTTTGAACAGGCAGCTGACTGTCCAATCTTACGTTTGTATGAAGGCCAGTTTAAGAAGACATGAACAGTTATGCAAATCAAATTCTACAATAAAAATTAAAAGATTCACTGAAGAAATAGCCTTTTAGCATAGTATTTTTTAAAATTACCTACCCATATTATTGCTCACTGTAATATTGGCATTTTTGGTGGTGGTAGTGTTGGTTTTGATCCGGTGGGAGGTCTAGGGGGTGCTGGTTTATTTCCAACAGATGGCTTGTTTATTAAAACTGGCTTACTTGGAAGGGCTGGGTGATAACCACTTTCAGAGGGAACCGAAGTGGGCAGCTCTTCCTGCAGTCAAATAATGATGAACGAAGCAACTACAAAGCTATTAATAAAAGCTAAGTACAGTAGAACCTTGATTAACACTTTTTCACTATAACAAGGTTGAAAAACTGAGGCATATTTTCGATGAGCACACACTACTTCTCATTTTGCGTGGAGTATAATTTTATGAGAAATTAGCTAAAAGGCAGTACACACACAGGTTAGCAATTAATAATTTCACTAATTACTCATTTATGTGTTTTTAAAAATCATTTACTTACCTAGGTGTTTTAATACAATTCTTAAATATGTTACTGACTGATAATAAATTATGAAAATTGCTGTAATTAAATGAGAGTAGGTTGGTAGACAGCAACCACCCAGGGAGGTACTACCATCCTGCCAAGTGATTGTAAAACAAAAGCCTGTAATTGTTTTACATGATGGTAGGATTGCTGATGTCTTTTGTCTGTCTCATAAATATGCAAGATTACAGGTATGTCTTGCTACTTCTACTTACACTTAGGTCACACTACACATACATGTACACGTTTATTTATACACACTCATCTGAGTTTTTTTTTTATTTATCTTAATAGTTCTTGGTCTTGTTACTTTTCCTTTTATATCCATGGGGAAGTGGAATAAGAATCTTTCCTCCGTAAGCCATGTGTGTTGTAAAAGTCAACTAAAATGCCGGGAACAATGGGCTAGTAACCCCTTTCCTGTAAGATTACTAAAAGAATAAGAAGAAGAAAATTGTCAAAGTGGGAAGTCTGAATGTGTGTGGATGTTGTGCAAATGATAAGAAAGAGATGATTGTGGATGTTATGAATGAGAAGAAGCTGGATGTCCTGGCTTTAAGTGAAATGAAGCTGAAGGGGGTGGGAGAGTTTCAATGGAGAGGAATAAATGGGATTAGGTCAGGGGTTTCAAATAGAGTTAGAGCTAAAGAAGGAGTAACAATAATGTTGAAGGATAAGCTATGGCAGGAAAAGAGGGACTATAATGTATTAATTCAAGGATACATGGAGTAAAATAAAGATTGGATGTGAAAAGTGGGTTATAATAAGCGTCTATGCACCTGGAGAAGAAAGAAGTGTAGAGGAGAGAGAGAGATTTTGGGAAATGTTGAGTGAATGCGTGGGGAGCTTTGAATCAAGTGTGAGAGTAATGGTGGTTGGGGATTTCAATGCTGAAGTGGGTAAAAATGTTATGGAGGGAGTAGTAGGAAAAATTTGGGGTGCCAGGGGTAAATGTAAATGGGGAGCCTTTAATTGAGCTATGTGTAGAAAGAGATTTGGTAATAAGTAATACATATTTTATGAAAAAGAGGATAAATAAATATACAAGGTATGATGTAGCACGTAATGAAAGTAGTTTGTTAGATTATGTATTGGTGGATAAAAGGTTGATGGGTTAGGCTCCAGGATATACATGTTTATAGAGGGGCAACTGATACATCGGATCATTATTTAGTTGTAGCTACAGTTAGAGTAAGAGGTAGATGGGAAAAGAGGAAGGTGGCAACAACAAGTAAGAGGGAGGTGAAAGTGTATAAACTAAGGGAGGAGGAAGTTCGGGCGAGATATAAGCGACTGTTGGCAGAAAGGTGGGCTAGTGCAAAGTGACTAGTGGGGGGAGTTGAAGAGGGTTGGAATAGTTTTTAAAAATGCAGTATTAGAATGTGGGGCAGAAGTTTGTGGTTATAGGAGGGTGGGGGCGGAGGAAAGAGGAGTGATTGGTGGAATGATGAGAAAGGGTTAAAGAGAAAAAGTTAGCTTATGAGAGGTTTTTACAAAGCAGAAGTGTTATAAGAAGAGCAGAGTATATGAAGAGTAAAAGAAAGGTGAAGAGAGTGGTGAGAGAGTGCAAAAGGAGAGCAGATGATAGAGTGGGAGAGGCACTGTCAAGAAATTTTAATGAAAATAGAAAAATTTTTGGAGTTAAACAAGTTAAGAAAGCCTAGGGAAAGTATGGATTTGTCAGTTAAAAACAGAGTAGGGGAGTTAGTAGATGGGAGAGGGAGGTATTAGGTAGATGGCGAGAATATTTGAGGAACTTTTAAATGTTGAAGAAGAAAGGGAGGCGGTAATTTCATGCACTGGTCAGGGAGGTATACCATCTTTTAGGAATGAAGAAGAGCAGAATGTAAGTGTGGGGGAGGTACGCGAGGCATTACGTAGAATGAAAGGGGGTTTAAAGCAGCTGGAACTGATGGGATCATGACAGAAATGTTAAAGGCAGGGGGATTTTATAGTGTTGGAGTGGTTGGTACTTTTGTTTAATAAATGTATGAAGAGGGGAAGGTACCTAGGGATTGGCGAGAGCATGTATAGTCCCTTTATATAAAGGGAAAGGGGACAAAAGAGTTGTAAAAATTATAGAGGAATAAGTTTATTGAGTATACCAGGAAAAGTGTACGGTAGGGTTATAACTGAAAGAATTAGAGGTTAAGACAGAATGTAGGATTGCGGATGAGCAAGGAGGTTTCAGAGTGGGTAGGGGATGTGTAGATCAAGTGTTTACATTTTAGCATTATGTGAACAGTATTTAGATAAAGATAGGGAAGTTTTTATTGCATTTATGGATTTAGAATAGGCATATGATAGAGTGGATAGAGGAGCAATGTGGCAGATGTTGCAAGTATTTTGGAATAGGTGGTAGTTACTAAATGCTGTAAAGAGTTTTTATGAGGATAGTGAGGCTCAGGTTAGGGTGTGTAGAAGAGAGGGAGACTACTTCCGGTAAAAGTAGGTCTTAGACAGGGATGTGTAATGTCACCATGGTTGTTTAATTATTTTAGATGGGGTTGTAAAAGAAGTAAATGCTAGGGTGTTCGGGAGAGGGGTGGGATTAAATTATGGGGAATCAAATTCAAAATGGGAATTAACACAGTTACTTTTTGCTGATGATACTGTGCTTATGGGAGATTCTAAAGAAAAATTGCAAAGGTTAGTAGATGAGTTTGGGAATGTGTGTAAGGTAGAAAGTTGAAAGTGAACATAGAAAAGAGTAAGGTGATGAGGGTATCAAATGATTTAGATAAAAAAAAATTGGATATCAAATTGGGGAGGAGGAGTATGGAAGAAGTGAATGTTTTCAGATACTTGGGAGTTGACGTGTTGGCGGATGGATTTATGAAGGATGAGGTTAATCATAGAATTGATGAGGGAAAAAAGGGGTGGTGCATTGAGGTATATGTGGAGTCAAAAAACGTTATCTATGGAGGCAAAAAAGGGAATGTATGAAGTATAGTAGTCCCAACACTCTTATATGGGTGTGAAGCTTGGGGGGTAAAGCGGCAGCGAGGAGACGGTTGGAGGCAGTGGAGATGTCCTGTCTAAGGGCAATGTGTGGTGTAAATATTATGCAGAAATTTGGGAGTGTGGAAATTAGGAAAAGGTGTGGAGTTAATAAAAGTTTTAGTCAGAGGGCAGAGAGGGGTTGTTGGGGTTGGTTTGGTCATTTAGAGAGAATGGATAAAAGTAGAATGACGGGAAAAGCATATAAATCTTTGGGGGAAAGGGAAAGGCGAGGTAGGGGTCGTCTCGAAGTTTTGTGGGCAAGGGGCTTGGACTTCCAGCAAGCTTTGCATGAGCGTGTTAGATAGGAGTGAAGGGAGACGAATGGTACTTGGGCCCTGACGATCTGTTGGAGTGTGGCGGGGGTAATATTTAGTGAAGGGATTCAGGGAAACCCGGTTTTTTCATATAGTGGGAACTTGAGTCCTGGAAATGGGAAGTACAATGCCTGCACTTTAAAGGAGGAGTTTGGGATATTAGCAGTTTGGAGGGATATGTTGTGTATCTTTATACATATATGCTTCTAAACTGTTGTATTCTGAGCGCCTCTGCAAAAACAGTGATTATGTGTGAGTGTGGTGAAAGTGTTGAATGATGATGAAAGCATTTTCTTTTTAGGGATTTTCTTTCTTTTTTGGGTCACCCTGCCTCGGTGGGAGACTGCCGACTTGTTGAAAAAAAAAAAATGAAGGGATGACTTGTGGCACCCCTATGATAAATGTTTATGTCTGGAGTTCAAGACCATCACAGTATATACCATTTATGTATAAAGTGTTTTACCACAGGAGTCACAGGTTTTAGGTAGTAGGTTGCCAGACAACAACGCCTACGGAGGTACTACCCTCTTGCCAAGTGAGTGTAAAATGGAAACCTGTACGTAATTGTTTTACATGATGGTAGGATTGCTGATGTCTTTTTTTCTGTCCCATAAATATGCAAGGTTCCAGGTACGCTTTGCTACTTCTACTTACGCTTAGGTCACACTACATATGCATGTACATACAAGTATATATATACGTAGTATATATATATATTTTTTTTAACAAGTCAGCCGTCTCCCACCGAGGCAGGGTGACCCAAAAAGAAAGAAAATCCCCAAAAAGAAAATACTTTCATCATCATTCAACTCTTTCACTTAACTCATGACATAATCACTGTTTTTGCAGAGGTGCTCAGAACACAACAGCTTAAAAGCATATACTTATAAAGATACACAACATATCCCTCCAAACTGCCAATATCCTAAACCCCTCCTTTAGAGTGCAGGCATTGTACTTCCCATTTCCAGGACTCAAGTACGGCTATATGTATAAAAATAACCGGTTTCCCTGAATCCCTTCACTAAATATTACCCTGCTCACACACCAACAGATCGTCAGGTCCCAAATACCATTCGTCTCCATTCACTCCTATCGAACACGCTCATGCACGCCTGCTGGAAGTCCAAGCTCCTCGCCCACAAAACCTCTCTTACCCCTTGCTTCCAACCTTTTCGAGGACGACCCCTACCCCGCCTTCCTTCTCCTACAGATTTAAATGCTCTCCATGTCATTCTACTTTGATCCATTCTCTCTAAATGACCAAACCACCTCAACAACCCCTCTTCAGCCCTCTGACTAATACTTTTGACTCCATACACACACACACACACACACACACCCACACACACAGGGCCAGGAGTTAGGACTCGACCCCTGCAACCTCAACTAGGTGAGTACACACCCACCCACCCACAGGCTGAGGAAAGTAGGTGGGGAACTCACAAGAAATGATCAAGAGGTATGCGAGGTGTTCAACACAAGAGTTAAGGAAGTATTCACAGTGGAGACAGGAAAGACTCTGGGAAGACAGGACAGAGGGGGACACCAACAGGGAATACACCAACAAGTGCTGGATGACATACAAACAACTGAGGAGGAGTTGAAGAAGCTGCTAACTGACCTTGATACCTCAAATTCAATGGGACCGGACATCTCCCCGTGGGTCCTCAGAGAGGGAGCAGAAATACTGTGCGTGCCATTAACCACAATCTTGAAACTGGGCAACTACCCAAGGTATGGAAGACAGCAAATGTAGTCCCCATATTTAAAAAAGGAGACAGAAAAAAGGCACTAAATTACAGACTAGTGTCACTGACGTGTATGGTATGCAAAGTCATGGAGAAGATTATCAGGAGGAGAGTGGTGGAGCACCTGGAACAAAACAAGATTATAAATGACAACCAGCACGGATTCATGGAAGGCAAATCCTGTGTCACAAACCTTCTGGAGTTTTATGACAAAGTTACAGAAGTAAGACACGAGAGAGAGGGGTGGGTTGATTGCATTTTCATGGACTGCAAGAAGGCCTTTGACACAGTTCCTCACAAGAGATTAGTGCAGAAACTAGAGGATCAGGTGCGTATAACAAGAAGGGCACTGCAGTGGATCAGAGAATACCCGACAGGGAGGCAACAACGAGTAATGGTATGTGATGAGGTATCACAGTGGGCACCTGTGACGAGCAGGGTCCCACAGGGGTCGGTCCTAGGACCAGTGCTATTTTTGGTATATGTGAATGACATGATGGAAGGGATAGACTCAGAGGTGTCCCTGTTTGCAGATGATGTAAAGTTAATGAGGAGAATTACATCAGACGACGATCAGGCAGGACTTCAAAGAGACCTGGACAGGCTGGACACGTAGTCCAGCAACTGGCTTCTCAACCCTGCCAAGTGCAAGTCATGAAGATCGGAGAAGGGCAAAGAAGACCGCAGACAGAGTATCGGCTAAGTGGTCAAGGACTGCAAACCTCTCTCAAGGAGAAAGATCTTGGGGTGGCCATAACACCGAGCACGTCTCCGGAGGCACACATCAACCAGATAACTGCCGCAGCATATGGGCGCCTGGCAAACCTGAGAATAGCGTTCCAACACCTTAGTAAGGAATTGTTCAAGGCACTGTACACTGTGTACGTCAGGCCCATACTGGAGTGTGCAGCACCAGTTTGGAACCCACACCTGGTCAAGCACGTCGAGAAATTAGAGAAAGTACAAAGGTTTGCAACAAGGCTAGTTCCAGAGCTCAGGAGAATGTCCTACGAAGAAAGGTTGAGGGAAATCGAACTGACGACACTGGAGGACAGGAGGGTCAGGGGAGACATGATAACGATATACAAAATACTGCGATGGAATAGATAAGGTGGATAGAGACATGATATTCCAAAGAGGGGACACAGAAACAAGAGGTCACAATTGGAAGATGAAGACTCAGACAAGTCACAGGGATGTTAGGAAGTATTTCTTCAGCAATAGAGTAGTCATGAAGTGGAATAGCCTAGCAAGAGATGTAGTGGAGGCAGGAACCATACATAGCTTTAAGACAAGGTATGACATGGCTCAGGAAGCAGAGAGAGAGAGGACCTAGTAGCAATCAGTGAAGAGGCGGGGCTAGGAGCTGAGTCTCGACCCCTGCAACCACAATTAGGCGAGTACACACACCCACCCCCACCAACCCACCCTCTGGGTTTTCTTCTATTTTCTTACTAGTTCTTTTTCTTGTTTATTTCCACTTATCTCCATGGGGAAGTGGAACAGAATTCTTCCTCTCAAAGCCATGCATGTTGTCAGAGGCGACTAAAATGCTGGGAGCATGGGGCTAGTAACCCCTTCTCCTGTATATACTATTAATAAATTTAAAAAAAGAGAAACTTCCATCTTTCTTTATGGGCCACCCTGCCTTGGTGGGATATGGCTGGTTTGTTGAAAGAAAAAAAGGAGTCATAGGTCTAACAGATGTGACCTAATTAGCTGTTTCCTGCATACCACTCAATACATGTATTGTTTTCACATCTTTTGCATTATCAGGGCTAAAATGCAAGGATACTGGCGATAAATGCTGTATCTAACATATTCTGCCATAAGCTTAGTTTTGACAGTACGGTTTGATATATGGTTATAAATTTAAATATAAATTTTATTCACATTTTATGGCGACAGACTAATTCCCCTGATGTTATTACATCATTGTTTAAACCGTTTCATAAGCTTTATTTTGCTCAGTAACATAAAACGTTACACAACTTATCAACCCGTAGTAAGATGTGTGTAAATTATCTAGGGTAACCCATGGGGGTGCTTGATTTCGATTGTTTGTCTTTGTGTACTGAATGGTTCTTAAGTTTTCTTTAGATTGGCAGTATTTTTGACTGAGTGTCACTCAATTTAGCTGCAATTAAACATTTACTATCACTCATATGTGTCACATCCATAACATAAACTGGACCTGACTGGTCCTAATCTCTTTCTACCCTGTCTCCATGAGCCACACATGCAGCGGATCCAGCTACAGCTGAGAGATAAGATATAGATTTATGATGGTTTTTCATGCATTTTAAAAATACTTTATGTTTTTGTTTTTAAGTTTCTCCATGGGGGAAGTGGAACAGAATTCTTCCTCCATAAGCCATACGTGTTGTAAGAGGTGACTAAAATGCCAGGAGCAAGGGGCTAGTAATCCCTTCTCCTGTATATATTCCTAAATTTGAAAGGACAAACTTTCATTTTACCTTTTGGGCCACCCTGCCTTGGTGGGATACAGCTGGTTTGTTGAAATATGAAGTTTTTAAGTTTATTGATTGATTTTAGTGTTTAATAAAAGTATATCTTCTCCATAGGGAAGTGGAACAGAATTCTTCCTCCGTAAGCCATGCGCATCATAAGAGGCGACGAAAATGCCGGGAGCAAGAGGCTAGTAACCCCTTCTCCTGTATACATTACTAAAGTTAAAAAGAGAAACTTTTGTTTTTCTTTTTTGGGCCATCTTGCCTTCGTGGGAAACAGCCTGTTTCTTGAAAGAAGAAGAAAGAGTATATCTGCACTGCTCATGAAGTAATTCACATTGGATGAAATATCAACGTTAAGTGCGAAAGTAGATGACTGTGACTTCATAATGAACAAAGATCCAAATACTGAATGAGGCATTAGAGTTAGGCAGGTGTTACAAAATGATATTCAATGCTATAAAGATATATATGCTGATAAGAAGAAAAAACTGTGCAAACTACACTATTCAACAATTTTTCAGGATAAAAAATGATCATTTTCTTTACCATATGTATGGTGCATTGTAATAAAAATCTTTAGTACTTTTTTTTTTTGTTTTTATCTTTTGTAATTTTTGTGTGTGCAAGAATTTTGTGTGCACTGATTTGGACTAAGCAAACAGCTAAATATTTTTCGCAATCCAATGCATTTAATTGTATTGTTGGAATGCACTACATTAAAACATATTATAGTAATACTTTGATCAGTACGGTATTTTTTTGGCATGCTTAACCATACTATGCAAGGTATTACTGGAAAAACCCAGAGGGACTCTTTAAGATTTATATAGCCTTTACTTCCTTCTAACTACATAATCAGGGCTATAATGAGAGGAAACTAAACTTGTACATATGCGTATACTGTTTGAGGATGCACTAATTTGTCTCGTGTAAATGTATTCAATTGCCAACCGAACAGAGTACTATATGTATATTGACTATTGCAGTAAAATGCTTTCATTAGGCTACATGACACTATTAAAGAAAAGTGACTTATATACAGAAAAGTGACTTATATACAGTCATATTTCATTGTATTCTTTCTGCATTAAAGAAATTCCTGCATGTAGTCTCTCACACTTGCTATCTGCTTAAGTTTTAGCCACCAAGTTTAATTCAGACTTCACAGAACTACTGTTCAGTAGTTTATATAGTAAATATTTCTGAAGAAGGATTTCTTTTGAATAGATTAAAACAAAGCAGTACAGAAGTTACATTCTCATATTAGAGCAATGCTATCCCTTACTTACCACAGGCGGTCTAGGGGGTGCAGGTTTATTAGCAGGGTTGGGAGGCACAGGGAGAGGGCCTCTCGTCAGTCGATCATTTGGAAAAGAAGGTTTCGACGTAGCAGGGGGTGGAGGAGGGGCTGGATTACTCTTACTACTAGGCTGTAGGAGGAATTACTATGTAGCAATAACAACAGTTTTAAAAAAATTCAAAAGCATTTTTGTTTAAAGTATTTTCAGACTCTAAAGTATATGTTTTTATAAGATAACTACCTTAATATAATGCATTACAAATCTTATTGTAAACTGTGTAGCATATTCTTATAACAAAAAACACATTTATCACTGTCCTTTCCCTTTGCCCTAAGTGTCTCCCCTTTGAGCAAGAACCCAGGTAAAACTGCAACTAGCAATTAACTCAAGAGCACCTGTACATAGCACCTCTAAATAGATCCCAGCAAGAGTCACTCTACCGATCATAGATCAACCCTCTCCAATAACAAATTTACTGTAATTATTCCAGTGATGACCTTTAATCCTTTCATTGTCTTGTACACAGATCTACGTTACTGATGCCAAAGTCACTTATGGAGATCTATGTTTCAAGCTGTGAGTGGTAAATTTTGGCCCAGACACAAGAGAATGAATGTGCGGTGAGTAGGCACAGAATAAAAAAAAAAAAAAAAAAAAAAAAAACAGTGTGGGTTCTAACCCCACCCGTAATATGGTTTGTGTGCAATCGTATCAGTACGATTTTGTGAGTCACAGTGCATTATGGGAAAAGCAAACCTCTGATCTTGTGTTTGGTTTAAAAGCGACTCGAGGTGTTTTCTCGGGTGGTTTTATTGGTATCATTTGATACACTGGAAGACACACTATTGAACAGATGATTTTGGATGGTTTCAGGACTTGAAGTAGATTGAAACTGGGCTCAAGGTAGAGGAAAACTTCCAATTTTTATGATTTTCCTAAGGATGGATAAGGGCCTGTCTACAGTCCCCAGTCTGTTTTATGGGTTTTGATTCAATTATTGGGACTCCATAAACCATGACCAATAATTCCTGGTTATAGCTTATTAGAAAACTAATTGGGTAAAGCTGTTATTTTTTTGTGTGATAATGAATTCAAAATGGAGGACAAGTTTAATATATGAGAAGTATGATTTTTTTTAATTTTGTTTAAAACTGACTCAATTACCCACTTTTGTGCACTCTATAGGGTAGTTCTGATAGCTGAATGGGTGGTTTCTTGTGCTCAATTGATAGAATGGAAGGTACACTAGAAAATAGCTAATAATTTTGTTAAGCTTAAAATAGGACTCAAAGTGGGCAAAATCACTGATGCATAAATTGCACCCAGATTGCTAATTTTGTGCCTGTGTAAGTCCACAAATTTTCCATCAAATTTCACACTTTTTGGTGTCATTTCCTTCAGAAAAAGATTCTCTATCAATCCAGAAGAATTAAAAAGAAAAAAAAGATACGGTGAGCACTTTTAATTCTAGAGATTCTGACAGTGGAGTCAATAATTAAGAACTTGATGGCAACATTAATATCTGCATTGTTTTGTGCTGACCTCACCACATGACATACTCCAAAGCTAGTAACTTCTGCAGATCAGTTATCTTCTCATAAAGTAAATATGAACTGTAAACTAAATTAAAATAACCCAAACCTTTGGACTAGGTGGTACACTATTATTTTCAGCTGTGTGTTGAGACTCCAACGACACATCCCGTACTGGAACACTTGGTGAAGGTTTTCTTCCTGGAGGTAATAACGGCCCACTTCTGTTTGCTGTTAAAAGGGGAAGGAAATGTTATCTTCATGAGAAATCATAACATACAGTACTTCATGTTCCAACTTTGCTGATACTGAACTATATTTCCATATAATATACTGTGTATTAAAATGTTGACTTACTCTCCTTCAATTCTGGGTGGTAGTTTTGAAAGTGCTGTACCAGAGGCACTTTATGGTTTTCACTAGATTTCAAAATTTGTCAATGTACTTTCTAAAATAAATTATCTAACTCATTTATTTCAATACAATGATACATTTGCACAGGTGAACAGCTCAGTAACTAGTACTGTATCTACTACAATCTATTCACCATATCTACTATAATCTATTCACTGTATCTACTATAATTTATTCACCATAGTGTATATAATATTAATGAAGAATGTCCCAGTATACTGACAAAGAATATCCCAGTATACTATGTATCAGTGTATGTCCTTAATTTCCCCAAGAAAAGCTCTAGGAAAATGAGTTTCTGAAGTTGTATCCAAGGTTTCAGTAAGTACTATAATATAACTACCAATTGACAAATATAATGATTATAAAATTTCTGTGAATAGCAACAGTGAATTTGGAGTCGGTGAGAAACTGTTACTGGCTGATGAATGTGCCCAGATAATGATGGTGACAACTGTTCTTGTACAGTATCTCTATAGCTAATTACAAGCTATCAAATAACCCTAGTCCAAACAATCTGTATTTAATTAAAGCTAAAAATCATACCAAACCGAGATATATTGAAAAACTGAAAAATCATATCAAATTCTAACGGCTTCAAATCAAGCAGGAGAAAGCTGGTAGGCCCACATGTGAGAGAATGGGTCTGTGTGCACCATAAAAATAAAATCATGCAGCACGCAGTGCATACTGAGAAAAAAAAACTGACCATGTTTTTGGATTAAAACGCCAACTTTGTGGTGTATTTTCGTATAGTATTTATGGTTGTATTCTCATTTTCTTGGTCTCATTTGATAGAATGGAAAACATGTTATAGAACTAGAGGTGATTTTGATTGGTTTTACTATGAAAAGAACCTTGAAATGGAGCTCAAAGTATGGGGAAATGTTTGATTTTTTCCAATGTTTAAAAGTAAACAAATGATGCCATTGTCCAATAAATGTCCAACTAGCCATTCTAATATGCAGTCATGAATGGGTTGACATTATTTATATAATTATTACAATATTGCAGTACTCTGCATAACAGTAAATCTTCTATTTTTTGTTTGAATAACAATTCAAAATAGAAAGCAAGAGTATTATCAGAGGGGCCTGGAAACATGACCGATGAACAAAGAAAATGATATTTTAGAGCCAGGAATGTCTGCATTGTTCATTCTGGACCCTATTTTGAAACTGGTATATTTTCTGAGTGAAATTGGCCAAATTGCAAATTTCTGACCACATTATTGGGTAGTTGAAATTAGTAAATGGGCAGTTCCTTGTACTTAATCAATAGAACAAATGGAGTTCTAAAGAAATAGCTATAAGTTTGGTTGACTGGAGCAATGGAATTAGCCGAAACTAGGGCTCAAAGTGGGCGAAATCACTGACTCGTAAATACTGCTGAGGTCGCTAACTTCGCGAGAGCTTAATTCCATAAGTTTTCTATCAAATTTTATTCTTTTGGTGTCATTACCATCGGGAAAACATTCCCTATTTCATAAGAATTTTTTTTTTTTTTTTTTTTTTTTTTTCAAAAATTTTTTGACACCAGGAGACAACTCAGGATTTGGGGTTGTGACAGTCAAAGGGTTAGGTAAAAGTTTAGCCTTCACATATGACTGGTAATTTATGTACTTGCAGGTACAGTACAGCATATATATACACAATATATTGCTTGTGACAAAAGTGTCACTGGGTTATGCAACACTAATATATAAATTCACAACATCAGGAAAAGATTAAGTTAGGGTAAGGAAATACATGTAGTGAGTTTGGTGTGCGCACATAACAGGATTTAAAGTATAAGTGGATCATGTACAGTAGTAATAAACCATTACACTTTATTTTGTCCTATATCCGTAGCAAAATCATTTTAATGTTAGGTAAATGAATAAATTAAAAATAAAATTGTTACCTCAAAATGTTTATAGTACTTTACAGTAATATACAGCAGATGTAAAATATACTTACAGGGATTAGCAGGTAATCTTCCTGTAGGTCTCAACCTGTTCACCCCATCTGCTATGTGTCCCAGCTGAGGTGCTCCCCCATTCATCATCATCCTCCCTCCTCCTCCTCCTCCTCCTCCTCCTCCTCCTCCTCCCCCTCCTCTATTTCCCCCTCCATTTGTGGATGGCTTGCCTGAAAAAAAAATATTAAAGATTGGATAATGTGGAATAGATAACATGGACTGGATAATGAGTGAATGCTAAAATAAAACAATTGTGTAATGCTAAATTATATACAGAGCCTCTCCACACTTAATGATGGAGTTCTGTTCCTATGACCACGTCACTAAACGAATTCAATGCTAAGTAAGGAGCATACTATAATGGTAGTGGTTTTGTGTCAACCATCTTTGATATTGTTTTAATGTCACCTTTGCACCATTTATAACATTTCTGGTATATTTTTAAATGTTTATACAGTAGTGTATTGTACTGTATATTGAAATAAACAGAGTAAAGGAAATCAGCTCTAATATACATTATTTAGGTATCAATACTGGTCAGAGAGCCCGTCGTAAGTCCGAGGCGTCGGTAAACGAGTACATCACTACATGAGGATAGGCTGTGTGTGTGTGTGTGTGTGTGTGTGTGTGTGTGTGTGTGTGTGTGTGTGGTGTGGTGTGTGTGTGTGTGGGGTATATTATATATATATATATATATATTATATATATTATATATACATACATTTTTTTTTTTTTTTTTCAACAAGTCGGCCGTCTCCCACCGAGGCAGGGTGGCCCAAAAAAGAAAGAAAATCCCCAAAAAGAAAATACTTTCATCATCATTCAACACTTTCACCACACTCACACATTATCACTGCTTTTGCAGAGGTGCTCAGATACAACGTTTGAGATGCATATCGTATAAGATACAACACATATCCGCCAATCTGCAATATCCAAACCCATCTCCTTTAATAATGTTGCAGGCATTGTACTTCCTGTTCCAGGACTCAAGTCGACTATATGAAAATAAATGGGTTTCCTGAATCCTTCCTAGAAAGATTACCCTGCTCACACTCCAACAGATCGTTCAGGTCCCAAGATCATTCGTCTCCATTCACTCCTATTAACACGCGCATGCACGCTTGCTGGAAGTCCAAGGCCCCTTGCCCACAAAACTCCTGTTACCCTCTCTTTCCAACCCTTTGAGGAACGAGACCCCTACCTTCTTTCCCATCCCTAAAGAGTTATATGCCTTTCCATGTTCATTCTACTTTGATCCATCTCTCTACTGGACCAAACCACCTCAACACCCCCTTTGTCCCTCTGACTAATGCGTTTATTTAAACTAACACCTTCTCCTAATTTCCAACACTCCGAAGTTTTAGGCATAATTTTTTACCACCAACATTGCCTTAGACAGGACTTCTCCACTGCCTCACCGTCTCCCTCGTGCTTGCATTTACCACCCAAGTTCACATCCTATAAGAGTGTTGGTACTACTATACTTTAGACATTCCTTCTTTGCTCCATTAGATAAACGTTTTTTGACTCCACATAGACCTCAATGCACTCTACCTTTGTCCTCATCAATTCGTTGATTAACCAATCCTTTCATAAATCATCCCTGAAACGTCAACTCCAAGGTATCTGTAAAGCCTCACTTTCTTCCAGAATCTCCTCCCCAATTTGATTATCCAATTTTCTTATCTAAATCATTGGATACCCTCATCACCTTACTTTTTGCTATGTTCAATTTTCAATACTTTCTACTTTACACAATTCATCAAACTCATCCACTAACCTTTCAATTTTTCTTTAGAATCCTCCCATAGCACAGTTATCATCAGCAAAAGTAACTGTGTCAATTCCCTTTTGAATTTGATTCACCAAAATTTAATTCCCACCCTCTCCGAACACCCTAGCATGTTACTTCTTTTACATACCCATCTATATATATATTAAACCAAAATGGTGACATTAACATCCCGGTCTAAGACCTACTGTTTACCGGGAAGTATTCTCCCTCTCTTCGTACACACCTAACTGCGTCCACAATTCCTCATAAAAGCTCTTTACCGCATTTAATAAGTACCTACCTGATTCCCATATATTGCATCATTGCCACAGTGCGCCTCTATTCAATCTATCCACATGCCTTTTCTAATCCATAATGCAATAAAAATTCCATACCTGTTATCTAAATTACTGTTACATATATTGCTTGTCCATGTAAAACTTGATCTACACATCCCTACCCACTCTGAAGCTCCTTGTTCATCTGCAATCCTACTTTGTCTCTTAACCTCTAATTTTTTCAATTATTACCCTGCCGTTAGACTTTTCCTGGTTCTATTCAGAAAAACTTATGCCTCTATTATTTTTTACAATCTCTTTTGTCCCCTTCCCCTGTTATACAGGGACTATACATGCTCTCTGCCAATCCTAGGTACCTTCCCCTCCGTTCTAATTTAGTAAACAATGTACCAACCACTCCAACTCTATAATCCCCCCCTGTTTTAACATTTCTGTCATGATCCCATCAGTTCAGCTGACTTTACCCCTTTCATTCTACGTGTAATGCCCTCACGTACCTCCATCACACTTACATTCTGCTCTTCTTCACTCCTAAAAGATGGTAGACCTCCCTGGCCAGTGATGTGAAATTTACCGCCTCCCTTTCTTCCCCAACATTTAAAATGTTCCTCAAAATATTCTCGCATCTACCTATATACTCCCTCTCCCCATCTAATAACTCCCCTACTCTCGTTTTTAACTGGACTATCCATACTTTCCCTAGGCGTTTTTATCGTGTTTTAACTCACTCCAAAATTTTTTTTTGGTTTTTTTTCTTATTTTCTATTAAAATTTCTTGACAGAGCCTCCCCACGCTTTCAATCTGGCTCTCCTTGTGCACTCTCTCACCGCTCTCTTACCTTTCTTTTACTGCTCCTTATACTTGCTCTTCTTAGAACACTTCTGCTTTGTTAAAACTCTCGTGAAGCTACCTTTTTACTCTTATATCATCACCCTTTACTTCATTATTACACAATCACGCTCTTGCTCTGCCCCCACCCCCCCTTTTATAACCACAAACTTCTGCCCCACTTTCTAATAACTGCATTTTTAAAACTATTCCAACCTCTTCGACCCCACTACTCTGTCTTTGCACTAGCCCACTTTCTGCCAAATAGTCGCTTATATCTCGCCCCCCGCCGTACTGCCTTCCTCCCTTAGTTATACACTTTCCACCTCCCTTCTTATGTTGTTGGCCACCTTCCTCTTTTCCCATCTAAATTCTTACTCTAACTGTAGCTACAACTAAAGAATGATCCGATGTATCAGTTGCCTCTATAAAACCTGTTACACTGGAGGCTACCCATAACTTTATCCACCAAGACTTAATTAACAAAATACTTTATTATGTGGGCTACATCATACGTGTATATTTATTTATCCTCTTTTTCATTAAAAGATGTATTACTGATTGCCAATTTCTTTCTACCATAGCTCAATTAAAGGGGGGTCCCCATTTACATTTACTCCTGGCACCCAAATTTACTCCCTATACTCCTCCATAACATTTTTACCCACTTTCGCATTGAATCCTCCAACCACCATTACTATCCACTTGATTCAAAACTCCCCACGCTTTCACTCTAACATTCCCAGAATCTTCTCTCTCTCTCCTCTACACTTTCTCTTCTCCTACCGCGGACAGACACACGCGGTCTAGAACCCACTTATCACATCCAATCTTTATTTGACCCATCCCACATATGCATTGATAATTATACATTTGTAGTCAATCTTTTCCTGCATAGCTTATCCTTCAACATTATTGCTACTCCTTCTTTAGCTCTACTCTATTTGAAACCCTGACCAATTCCATTTATTCCTCTCCAGTGAAACTCTCCATCCCTTCAGCTTTGTTTCACTTAAAGCCAGGACATCCAGGTTTCGTCTCATTCATAACATCCACAAATTCATCTTTTCTTATCATTTTGCACAACATCCATGCACATTCAGACTTCCCACTTTGACAATTTTCTTCTTCTTATTCTTTTTGTAATCTTACAGGGAAAAGGGGTTACTAGCCCAGTGTTCCCGGGGCATTTTAGTTGAATTTTACAACACGCATGGCGTAGGGAGGGAAAGATTCTTATTCCACTTCCCCATGGTTATAAAAGGAAAAGTAAGAAAGTCCAAGAACTATTAAGATAAAAATCATATGAAAACCATCAGAGGTGTGTGTATAAATAAACGTGTACATGCATGTGTAGTGTGACCTAAGTGTAAGTAGAAGTAGCAAGACATGCCTGTAATCTTGCATATTTATGAGACAGACAAAAGACATCAGCAATCCTACCATCATGTAAAACAATTACAGGCTTTCGTTTTACACTCACTTGGCCGGACGGTAGTACCTCCCTGGTTGGTTGCTGTCTACCAACCTACTACTAAATAAATATGTATGTTGAGCCAAGTAGGTATAACTCGTCAATTAGCAAGAACTCGTTTAAAATTAAGTCCTTTCTAAAATTTTCTCTTATACATTTAAAGATGTATTTTTTTCATTTATGTTAATAAAAAAATAATGATTTTGTACCAAAAGCACCTTGGGAAACTTACCTAACCTTATTATAACAAGTGCAATTTAATTTAACTTAATCCAACTAAATATATTTTATAAGTTTACAATAATTTAGTATTAAACAAACACAATGAAACATATTTTTTTCATTAGGTTCTGAATGATTTCATGCAATTATTGCATACACAAATTTTTGCTTGCCTTATTCGGCAAGAAAAAAGTTGCTATTTAAGCCAAAATGGCAAGTTTACCTATTCGGCATGACACACCACACACCCACACTCACACACACATATATTTGTTTTGTTTATTTTTTCAAAAGCCACTGGCCCTCTCCCACGGAGGCAGGGGGGCTGTGCCCGATAAATGGACAATTCTGAGGGGGATTTGGAGGATAAATCCCATGGATTAAACCTTTTGATCTACCCAGAATGGAAAAGGCGTTAGAAGTTATTGGGGAAGCCAGACTGTTAAGTGAGTTGGGGCAAGGGGGTGTGTATAAGGGGTTAACTGTAAGGGTTTGGTTGAAGTTAAGGGGAAAATGGGAGCAGTGAAGAGGGTTTTGAAGAGCGAAATTTTATAGTAATTCAGTGGTGATTGCTAAAGCAGTACTAAGTGTACTAGGACTGGAAAGAGAATAAATTATTATTGTATATGAGGTAAAAAAGAGCGAAGAGTGGTGAAAATGGCAGGCTTAGGGGAGTACAGGGGCTGCCATAATTATATTTTATATTTCTTTGCAATTCCATGAAGAAAGACATCAGTATGGGGGCTGAAAAAGGTGAGGAGTTGTACGTAACAGCACCTGGACATTAAAAGCCCAACAGTTGCCATCTACACAGAAAGTAAATGTCACTATCGACTGCAAGGTATGGCAACACCATACCCAGACAAAAAAGTGGAACACTGCTCATATTGTTAGCGCTCTTACCCTTTGAGGGTCGACAGGCTCTCCGAAACTCGTTCTCTGGGTCGGCAAATGTTAAAAAAAAAAAAGATTATTTTCTCGTATCAAAAGATAGAGAATCCTTTTCGATCATAAAGACACCAAAAGTTTTGAAATTTGATAGAAAAAACTACGGAATTGCGCTCTCGCAAAGTTACCGGTCTCGGCGATGTTTACGCTTCGGCGATTTTGCCCACTTTGAGCCCCATTTTTGGCCAATTTCACTGTACTAGTCGACAAAATACATGAATATTTCGCTAGTAGCACTCCATTTTGCTAGCGATGGAGCAATGGAAACCACTCATTTATGATAATTCAACTATCCAGTACAGTGGTCAGAATTTAGCAATTTTGCCAATTTCAACAAATTTCAAAGATGCCAATTTTCTGAAAGGGTCCAGATTAAACAAGAAGACATTCTGGCACTAAAATGACATTTCTCTAGTCTTAGTTCATGTCTCAAGTCCCCTCTTATTATTTCTTTTGCTTTCCACTTTGGAATTTTGTATTTTCAACAAAAAATATAAGATTTATGTTATGCAGACTACTGCAATTGAGGTGTAAACAAATTGGTATAAAGATTATTGGTGCACTTGTGATTAAGATATATTTAGACTCACAGTTGAGTGTAGTGCACGCTTGGCACGATTTGGTTGACTTTTGAAGTTTGGTAAAAATTCGAACATTGCTGCTACTTTGAGTCAATTTCAAGGCACCTTTCTTTGTAAAACCAGTCAACATCATCTAATTTCTGTAATATGTCTTCCATTCTATAAAAAATGAGACCAAGAAAAACTTGAATACAACAATAAATACCATACGAAAATACACTGCAAGTCGTGATTTATTAAAAAAACATGGTTTCAAAGTTTTTTTTTTTCATTATGCCTGTGTGCTGCAAGATTTTTTTTAGACTGTGCACACTGACACATAGACCCATCTTTCATATGAAGGCTACAGCTTTCTCCCACTAGGTTTGAGGCCGTAGAATTTATGAGTATAGTACGTCAAAAACCCCTACACGTAACCGTACTCGTCGACGAAAACCCTCAAAAGGGTTAAGTGGTGATAACCAAAT